TAGGCTGTAGCATCCATCACCTGTTGATTTATTCTGGCTTTCAGCATCCCTATTTTCTATTTTCCTAAACTATCTAATTTTCTTTATTATTCATAGACAGAAGTGTGTATGGTAGATATAGAGCTTATGCATACCCCTGAATGTATTCAGAAGCTTGTCATTTTCCCCTTTGGCACAAGGCTTGAATGCCATGCTAGGTTACTGAGTCTTCTCCCCACTGAGGTTTGAATCCACTCTGCATCTACACAGAAAAATTCCTGAGCCTTAGAAGACAGAGCTTTGGGAAAAGTCAAGTTAGACTACCTTGGTATATCTGGTGGGCACTCAGTTATTCAAGTAGTCTATAAAGACGCATGGGGACAAATTTTGAATAGTTAGATGAATAGTTGGAACTCTATAGATGGTAAGGATGGATTATTGATAAATAAACAAGTAGATGGGAGAAATTAGGAGAAAAGTAGATTATAAGTAATGGGTGAGCAAGAGTCAGTGAGATATCAGTAAAATAGTATAAGCGATTTGCATTTAAATATTGCACATCTACATCAGAAAGGTAAATTCTATTCACTTTTTCATTATTTATCACAGGGATTATGACCAGGAACAATTTGCTGATAACCATATCCCGCTGTTGGTAATAGGGACTAAACTGGACCAGATTCACGAAACCAGGCGCCATGAAGTTTTAACTAGGACTGCTTTTCTGGCTGAGGATTTCAATGCAGAAGAAATTAATTTGGTGTGTATTTTCACTAATGCATGTTTGTATTATTAGCAGGTGAAAGCAAAACTGGAGACTTTACAAGTCATGTTTTCACAAAAGAAGCTTTATACTTGAAATCAGGTTATTTGGGTTCTGGTCCAAAATGTGGTGAAAATTGAAATCAACATAGACTATCAGATGGGCATAGTCACTTCAGCCTCCTTGTATGCTGATCTTTTGGAATGTTCAAACTTTGTTCTATGACTAATGTAAATTGAGGGCTTTTTTTGAAAAGATTTTTAAAAATTACACCAAAGTCAAAATATCAAATTAAAGTGACAAAGAAAGGTTACTTGATATGGTACCTTGTTTATTCTTGCTTTAGAAAAGCCTCTTAGTTTCTTAAACTACAGCGTTTACCTTAAAGGGCAAACAAATAGATAAGTGAGAAAATTACAAACTGTAAACTAGGAGTGCTTCATAAGCATTAGTTTATATAAACTTCCGTGTATACAGAAGATCGAATCCCTTCCTGAGATATTTAGCTCAATTAGAAGTCAGTGCAAAAAAGGCTAAGAAAAGTATTCAGATGAACCAGTTAGTGTTGTCCAGAGAAGGTTCCTGGCCAGCAGCTTCAATCGTGGTTCATGTTATTGCTCAAGCAGGACTTCTGCAGCATATACAGTACATTGGCATTCAGATGTGTGGTGATAGTGGTGGTTTAATAATACTAATGGCTACCATATATTCAGCATTTATGTGCCAAGCACTGTTCTAGTGCTTTACATACTTTATCTCACATGCATCATCTTCACATCATCCCTATAAGGTAGATACTATTATTGTCCTTATTTCAAAAATGAAGACCAGAAGCAAAGGGAGGTGACTGGGCCAAGGTTACACAGGTCAAAGGAGGCACTCTGACTTCAGAGTCTATGCTGTACAATTAAACCTATTTTCCACTTAATTGTCCCTCAGAACATTTAGAATCTTGGAGCTGAAAGAACTCTTAGAAATCACCTAGTTTAACAGTTACCCAAACTTGACTGCATATTCATATTACCAACAGTACCTGTGCAAATTTTTTTAATAACTGACCCAGGGCAGGAGCTTTTTATTCATAAGGTCTGGCTGGAGGACCAGAACTCTAATTTTAACAGTGATTCAGATGATTCTGATGCCCTTACTCTGTGAATCAGTATTTGTGAACACTGCTTGGTTCAACCCCATATCTGAGGTTGAACCATAACTTCTACCCCCATAACTAAGTCAGCTTCTGTCTTGCCATTCCATTGTTTTTTATGTTCTACTTCGCAGTGGAAGCACCTTAATTTTTTCAGCTGCCACCATAAATGTCCCAGGAAGTCAGCACTGGACCATGATATTCCAGAGGATTTCTGCTACTTAAAATATATAATATCCTTCTTGAAGAAGTGCTGAGATTACTTCAGTGGAACATTATTTCCAAAGGGACATTTACCATTAAATGTACTTACTCTGTTCCAGTAATTACTTTTGATATGTTTTGGAATGTCTCTGGTTCTAATGGCCAGATATATGTTTTTCCTACTTAACTTACAAAGGCAAGGCCAATTGTTAACACGATGTAAAGATACTCAAGTGGCGGTACTTTGGCACACAGGGTCTCCACAGAGTTCATATACAACATACTGTAGGCTTTTCATCAGTTTATTTGCTTCAAGAAAACAGAAACGACAAGGGGGTCTTGAATATGCAAAGAATTAAAAATGAGGAGGAAAATTGGGTAAGAGTTTCAAAAGGAAGGTAGCAGTCAAAAAGACAGCAAGTAAATATAAGTCTCAAATAAAACACTAATGTAAAATAGTGCTAGCATCTTTGGTTACTATATGAATTTACCTTAAACTATAGAAAAGTAAGACTATAACATAAATGTGTACATCAGAGATGGAATCAGAGTTATCATCTTGTGCCTGGAAAAAAAGGCAAAGTGTTTACATAGATTACTTGTTTTTTAAATCCTGTTAGGCTTATTGTGTCTAGTACAGATTTTCTCTGTTACGTGTTTACTTCAAAGTAATCATATTGAAGCATCTTCCCTAGATAATATTTCTTTCCCAAGCTTAGACAAGCTATTTAGAGCTATTAATTTTCAGGCTTTGCCCTCGGCCATGATCCATAACAGATGGCTCTTTCGGCTTTAAAATTCTTATCTTAAAATCATAGGTTTTCTCTAGCCTGGTCAACCTGAAATTGTGGAGCCTTAAAATTCAGTTTGGGGGAGGTTTTGCTTGCTGCTTGATTTACTTTTTGTATTTAATACTTAGCACTATTTGGAATTATCTCTGAAGTCTTTTGACATTCTGATGACTATGTAATCAATATCCATTTTGTAAGACATATCTAACATAGGGCCATCTAAGGTTTGCCTCTCATATGCCCCAACTGCTGTATAAATGTGTTCAAACATTTCAAATACAATAGCTTGCACAATGATGTTTCAGTCTGTTTAATCCATGTGTGGAATTATCTTTTCTGTTAGGTGCTTTGTGTCTGAAAATTCAGTCTGATAGCATTTTCTCAGAATGAAGAGAAAGGGAAACTAATATTTCAGTACCTGTTATGTGCCAGACATGGATTATCTCATTTAATTTTCACAAAAATCCTATGAGATGAGTATTGTTATCCCTATTTTATAAGCGAGCTCCACTTTAAAGATTTAATGTCATACACTCTAGAAATGTTGAGACAGATATTTTGATTCAGAGTTTGTTACCTTCAGAGACCTCTGATTTTTTTTAGTATTCTGTGATCTTTGAAAGATTTGTTGTCGCTTTGTGTGTGTATGTGTGTGTGTGTGTGGTTTTGGAAAATGTATTATAGTTTCTGGCCAAAATTAAAAATATGAGCCTTGAAATGTTATATATGGACAAAATAGGTGACTTAATAAAATTCTTTGGAATCATGTAGGCTTAAAGATTACGAAACAATAAGTGCAGTGCCAGTAATTTCAGTCATTTCCCAAGGGACACAGACAACTGAAAGACAAATATCTTGCAAAGGAGCCTACATGATATCCTCATAGTTTGATCTTAGATGGCATGTGAGGTAAAAATCAAAGTACTCTGTCTCTTGAGATGGCAAGTCAATGACAAGCAAAGGCAACAGGACAGTCGAATTTTAGTAAAAGGATAGTAAGCTTTTAAGGGCTTTGCTAGTCATTAAAATGATTTAATGTTCCAGAATGTTTTGTCTCTTCTGGGCCCCATTTTTTTTCCTATTTTTGAAAAATCTATTTAATAGTAACATATCTGTTGTTCATTATTATTTCTTTAATTATTGTGAAATAATAACACTTAATGATATTTAATAATAATAAACAGTGTTTATTATTACCAAAAAATATATCTATTGTTTATTATTGTCTTTATGGCCTGTCCAGAGGTGTATGACCTTGTACTCAATGAATGAGAACTCCATGGCAACTGTTCTTTTTGTTCTTTGCTCCTCTTAACTCTTTATTTTCATGCTTCCTAGTATTTTTATGAACTGAATAGAATTTAATTAGTCGAGCACTGATGAGTACCTGGTACTAAAAAGTGAAATGTTGATTGTTTTTAATAGCTTTATTTCTGCTTTTTAGGGTAAATACAGGTGGGTCACTTGATTAGTATCTTGGTTTTATTAGTAAGATATTAGCAATCCTGTCTTCCTTTATGAATTATTTGATGATGAATATGTTGGTTCAGTGTCCTCTAAAACTGCTTAAATAACAAAAAGTGGCCTTACCTTCCTTTAACACTTTCCTCTTTGCTTTATGCATCATAATTTGAAAATTACATGAATATTTTGTGAGAGTATTATGCCTAATATTTTACTATAGAAATGTACAACTGGAACAGTAATAACCAACAAAGAGCTTAGGTTTTCTAACTTTTAATTGTGGATCTTATGTTTTATTTTCTAGGATTGCACAAATCCACGGTACTTAGCTGCAGGTTCTTCCAATGCTGTCAAGCTCAGTAGGTTTTTTGATAAGGTAATGGCTTCAATTAAGTTATTTTTAAACTTAATTTATATATTATGAGGGTTTAAATTCTTTGTACAATGCTTTGTCTTTTTATTCCTTCATCCTGAACTTCACAAGCTGAATAATATTTGTTTTGATCTCTCTTATCTGTTGGTATAATTGCTAAGGCCTGCTGACATATTTATTCTATCACCAGTGTTTTCTAAGCAAAGAATGAAAGCAACTGAATTTAAATGTTTTTTTTTTTAAATACTTAATTCCCCTCCTTAAAACAATTTATGTTTCCCTATTTTCTAGCTCTTTTTGTACCCCTTAACTCCAAGACACTGAACTGAGGAGATTCTACTTAAAGCTGCATTCTTTTTGCTCTCCCAGCTATTAATATTTTCCGTTTAAACGTAACTATTACTTTTTCATCTTTTCTATTGTTTTCCTGTAAGAAACCTTTGCATTCCAAATATTGACTCTTGCTAGCATCATCTTATTGCCCTGAAGTGAGATGAACATGTAGAATGACTCAGCATACTGGTAAAGTAGGGCACTGTTTGTCTTTCCTTCACAAGGCCATACAGCTGCATTGCACATAGTGTTGACCAAGTTTAAGTTGTTTGCCCAATGCTGACATTATGTAGTAAAATAAAATATGACGTATTTCTGTTTGTGTTATTGAAAAAGATTAATTTATGTATTATATTTCCTTTTAAGTGTAATCTCCCAAGAAAAACATTTCTCTCCTTATGGCTCTTTGTGAAACATTTTTCTTTTAGCAATTTAGGGTTCTAATATTTGGCTCTCTATCCAATATGTTAGCATAAGATAAGCCCCACAACCCTCCCTATTTAATATTAGTTCACTGGGAAATTTTGCTTCATTGCAGAATTCTCAATCAGTATGTTGCAAGTGGAGTACAGGTGTGCCTAGATATTGATTCCCTTCAGCTCTCAGAGCAGCCAGAGCCCCTGCGGCTGGATGATTGACAGCTTCTTCCATTTACCCCAGTGTGCTGTACAAATATTAGTATTTTCTAGATAGGATGCACTGCAGTGAACCACATTTTCTGTCCACATTGTTTTCAAACTTAAACTGTAAGAACTTTCTATTGAGTTTAGATCCCTGGTTCCCATCTGATACAAAATTCTGTTCCCTAAGGGCAACATCTTATAGATCTTTGTTTAACATGGAAAGTTCCCACAATATATTGTTTAAATTTTTAAATAATTTATTAATTTTGAAATTAAAATGTTAAATGTAATAAATTATATCCTTGAGAAACAATGGGTTATAGACTAGTATGACCCAAGTTTTCAGGCAAGACTTTATTGAAAAAAAAAGTTAGAGGGAACTTAATTGGTTTTAATAAGAGAGCAAAATTTAGTAAGAGAACATTGCAAGTTGAGAATAGGAAATTAGGAGCAAAAGCGAAAAGGTTACTTCTGTCTTTGTTGCCTAAATCACAACGAAAGGATTGTGCTTCATCAGACCTCCAGACTGAGGTGGTTGCCTGAAACCAAGGGACTTGGCAGCTAAATTTCACATCATATCTGTGAAAATTTATACATGGTATCTGTACATCGTATACATCATATCTGTGAAAATTTATGCAGCATGTCTGTGAAAATTTAACATAAAGATTTATTTTCCAGGACGGAATCTGACTCTTCCTTCAGACTCCCTTGGCTAGTAGTAATTCCTCCCCCACCCTAAAATGATAGGATTTTCCTGTCCTGCTCTGGAGAGAAGAAAGAGAACCAGTCCCTTCTTGGTTTCTATGGGAATGTTTTGAGATATATGTTAATCATGAACCAGCTTTTCTACTTTGGGGGCCAGTGAATGCATCCTTACCCTGGGTCTCCTGTAGCTAAAAGTGACCTAGCCATAGTCTCAAAGATAGAAAAAACCCGAATGATTTAGCTTTCAGACCAGTGAGAGCAAACTGTCAGGGGCCTGGAAGAAGTTGTTCAGTGCTTATTTGGAGTTCTTATTTTCGTAATTCTAGACTCTAGTGTCTTAGAGTTAATCTCCAGCAAATCTGTATTCTTATCTGATTAACTTTTCTTAATCACAATAGCTCTGTTTAAAGAAAAACAGTACTGCCTCTGCAACCATTACAGTTTCTCAAGTATTGAACTAAATTCATTATTTTTTAAAAATGTATTTCATCATCTGAAAACATGGAGCTCTTAAAACTCACTACATTAGGGCATGTAGTTTGAGGGCTTCTTTTCGATTGTAATGATGGATTTATGCAAATATATCCACTGCTTTACTTTGTTTCTCCTACTGACCAAATACAGACAGTTGTGAATTAAGGGTGCAGATTAAGTCCATAAAAAGAAGCTAATTGACTGCTTTTGTTGTTGTGTCATCCGTCTCCTTTGAGGCCCTACACAATTTATCACTGTGTTTACTAGAGGGATGTGACGGTTCATTAAATTACACAGACTCCTCTCTAAGGAATTGCTGTAGTATTGTAGTAGGCAAGTGCTTTGCTTTTTTATACTATGGATTATGGATACATGCCTTTTAGTCCCATTAGTGGTCATTGCTGTTAGCCACTTTTTCCAGATATGTGTGCTAAATCCTTAAAATCTTCGTTTCTCACAGGTCATAGAGAAGAGATACTTTTTAAGAGACAGCAATCAGGTTGGTATCTCTTTGATTGATAAAATGGATTCGTAAATTTAGAGGGAGGTGATTTCCAGATTTATTTTCAGAAGTGGTTTAAAGTAAAGTATAGGCACAAGCATCTAATTTTTCTCTGTTAATTACAAAAGAAAATCACATCTAGGGAAAATAAGGATCGAAGAGATGAAAAAATCCAGGGATAAGGTTACATTATAAAATAATAAAAGAAAATCACGTGCTTGAGAATCCAAAGTCTATCACAGTGCAAAGGATTTATATAAAAGTTCAATAGGTGAATATTATAAGATTCACCTTTATCTCCTCTGAGATGACAGCTGTCACCAATTTATTGGCAAATGTTTTCCATTTTGGTAGAATTTATTTTTATTATTTAATCTGCTGTGGTTTTCTTAGTAAAACCACAGAATGGCAGTTAAGGACCAACAGACCAACATTTTAAAGAAAATAAATTAAAGGTTATTGGCATTTGAACTCTGCCTACTTGATATTTAATGTGATTATCTTTCTTACCTTACAGATTCCAGGGTTTTCTGATCGGAAAAGATTTGGGGGAGGAACATTAAAGAGCCTTCATTATGACTGAATTACACTCAACCTTTGGAAGAGTGAGCAAGCAGTGGCTGTTTTTCACAGCTTTCTTCTTGCTGTGTCAATTATTAATGTCTCAGCCTTTTAACAAAATCATCTTAAAATGTTACCCTTCAGCCTCACCCTTTACTGGAAAACTGAAAGGAAGTAACAGCATTGGAAGTCCAAACTTTGTCCTCATTCTCTCTGTTCCTCACCTTTCCGTCCCTGTTTATAGATTATGTAAAAGCCTTGTGGAAATATGAGATGTCGTCACAATGATGCAGTAAATGAGCAGGGACAGAGTGCTGCAGAGAAAATTTACTCTTGCCTAGAACTAGATGGTTTTTATGGGTCTGTAATTTTCCCACACTCCTTGCTGAAGGCTTAATTAAGTACTTCAAAAACGTATCTCTGTTGTTTTACCTTCTTGAGGGGAAAGGTTATGTTAACCAGCCCTGAGTCGTCCACCCTAAACAATCTCTGTCATTTTCACAGAAGCAAAATGGTGTTATTTAGTTGTCTCCACCCTCATCACACATAGGATGCCTAATAATAGCAACCCTTGTTCCCTCTCCTCTCCTTTACAAATGGTTCAGTGGCTGGAAGAGGTGGACTAATGGCTAGAGTTAAATATAAATAGATTAATAATACATAGAGAACAGCAGTACCAGAAAAGAATTCTGCAAGAAATTGACAGCTCTCTAAATCCTTCAGTCTTTAGGTTACAGCTGTCTGCAGTCTCTCAGTGTTTTCTGTTTGGGAATAGGGTGACATCTAAGACCTGCACAAGGGCAGTAAGAAAGATTTATAGCCTGTTCAGATTTTATTTTTTTTGAAGGAAAACCCACCTCCTGAAATGTCTTTTAACTGTAGTCCATAAACTAAGAATATCATTCTTTGTGTCAACAATGTATTTATGGAGAGAGGTAAAAATAAGTTCCACAGCAACATATTTACATGAATTATGGACTAGGATTCTTAGATTTCATAATCCAAAATTTGGAGGGGTGTATATGCATAATCGTTCATCTTTTTTTTTTTTACCCATTGTTTTGCTTATTTAATTCTCTGTCCTCATTCTTTTAATATATAAATCTAGTTTCCAAGATCTGTAATTTGCTGCCTTATTTAACACCTTTTCACCCGTATCCTGTCTCCAGCTCTGCTGCAGGTCTCCGCACTCCTGATTTTGCTCCATATTAAAATATAATAGTAATAAATACAAAGTTTCAGCTTCTCATTTTAAAACTAGATGGAAAAATACTATATTCACTTTTTATTCCATTTTAATTAAATTTCAGAAGTACTTTGGAAATCAAGGTATGCTGAAAGGGGGTGTTAAAATAAGAATGTTAGAGAGTGATTTTAGAAAGGCAGTCTTGGGAATTCGAAAAGAATGTTTAAAGCACTTTTCATCAGCTAGAATATTCTCCAGTCTTTCTTCGCATCCTCCCCCACAAGACTTAGTCCTGATTTCTTCTTTGACATAAAAGAGAGCTATGCAAATCAGGATCTGTATGTAGAATTTGGCACAAGTGTGTTGTAACAGAGGCTGTGCTGTTAGGAAGTGGAAACTGAATGCAGAACAAAGACTTAAACCAACTAAGCTCTTTGTAGTCCTCCTTTAAATAATAAATCAATAACTCCTTGCTTCTCCTCTTCCTCTTTCTTTCCCTTAATTTAAAAAAAAAAAAAAATCTGCCCTAATTTATTTTCTCCCCTCTTAAAAAATAAAATAAAAGTAGCCCTGATGGCTTCAGGGTCAACCTTGAAAAATTAACATTACTCCCCAACTCTATTTCTTCTTGCTGTCAGGCTTAACTCCTTGAATTATAGTTTTGTAAGAAAAATTTTTTAAATAATTTAAGGTAAGCTTGCAAGTATTAGTAGCAACAAAATGAAGTATTTGCCAAAATGAATATTAGCCAAGAGTTCTTCAAAAAGAATATTTTGAAGCATAATTTTTGCTGAGACTTCCTGAGACCTCATAAAAATTGCTTTTAGATAATAAGTGTAAACAGCAAAATACATTCTAAAAAATGTTAATCGAATCTAATTTTCTTAACTTTCTTGTTGGAACAAGTTGCTAACGATAAAGTTTTTTTTTCTGTTGTGACTTAAATGTCTAACCGACGTTCTTACTCATTGTGGAGGCAACCAGAAATGACGTCATATAGCCAGTCGTCTGTCCTTCAGGTAGCGAACCCTTAGTTAGAAAATATTTGGGTTGGTCTCTTCACCTGAATGCTCTAAGAAGAGCTGCTCCCAAAGGGGTTGATCCATATCAGCTTTATCTTGGGTTCTCAAGATATTGAGACATCCATGACATAATCCAAGTCACTTGACACTGCTGTTTTTCTGTCCATTCTGAAAATGATGGCATGGAACTGAGCCATCAGACTGAAATGAAGAGACCTTTATTGCTGTCATAATCAGAGCTTTTGAGTCTTAATTTCAATAGTGTGTGCTGTAGTACCCAACCTAGATAGGTAGGCCCTTGTACATTTATTTAATGTTGGTTTAATTGAAAATTTTAAAGCACAGGTAGCACCTATTTTAAGATTGAAGGTCTTGACAAGCTGTCTGCATTAATAACTGTTAAAATTCAAAGGAAGGTACTGTTTAGGGGAAGGAAGAAGAAAAATAAAAAATTCATTTCTCTGTAGTCCCAAGACGGAGTGAAATCGCTGTGGTAGGAGAGGGAGGGTCCCAGGAAATCTAGCCCTTAGGAGAACCCCGAGCCTCAAATATTCCACAGTATGCTTGATGCAAAATTGGAGCTGGAGTCTGCCAAAGCTGCTCCATAAAGGAGGAAAGGGCTCTGACTTCCAGTTACAATTAATCAGCACCTCCATTTACATACTTAAAGCAATAGCATTCAAACTCAAAAGTGCATAAAAATGCTCTGAAGTGCTTCTTTAAAATGCAGTTCCCAGGACTTACTTGCTCTCCCCACCCAACTCTTGCCCCATTTCTATGTGTATGGGATAGGACCAAGATTTTGTACTATTGGCCCTTGAATAACACAGGTTTGAACTGCACAGATCCACGTATACATGGATTTTTTTTTCAATCAACTACCACATCTGTTTTCTCAGCAGGCTAACCATTAAGCTTTACCAAGGTCATCAATAAGTAATGGTGAAGAAAGAAGCCCCCAAGGTACAAGTGTGTAAAATCTTGCTCAGTACCATAAAGTTTATCAGGTAATCTATCAGTTCCATCTTTTTCTTGGTGGCATCTGTCCTGGAGTCCTCTAACCTCTAAATCCATTCTAGAATGGTTGCTCTGTAAACCTGTCACACCCTCCTTCACGTTACCTGTAATAATCCCCAGCTTCCTGGATGTCATGTTTTCCACTTTTCTTGCTGTGAATCAGTGGTCTTTCAACTGGATGAGTTCAAATATCCCCTCCAAGAAGTACATGGGCCCTATCCATCTCTTATTCTATATGACTTGGCTCAGATACAATCTTTGGGAAGCCATCCCTTCCTTAGTCAGGGCTAGGTGGCCCCTAATCCCTCCCATAGCAACGTGGGCTCTTCTTGTCATAGCACGTATGGCACTGTGTTGTAATAGCCCATTTATCAGTCAGTCTTCTGTAGTACAGTGCCCTACTAGAGAACGGGACTGAGTCTTAGTTATCTTTGTCTCTACATCTCACAGTGTCTGGCACATAGTAGGTCCTCAACAATTGTAAACTAAAGAAGTTGTGATTACATTAATTAAAGTGGAAAATCAATCAGACCTATCTGTCCTTGTGTTTTATTTATTCTCTTATCTCCTGTGTGTATTTAGCACAGTACCTGGCACATAGTAGTTACAAAGCAAATACTTGTTTGTTTGTTCATTTGTTTGTTTTTGAATCATTGTTATATTTTTGAATCATTGTTATAAAAACAGAAAAAGACAGGAAATAGTTAATCCATTTAGGAGAAATCTCTCAAGTTTGGTGACAGGTTTACTCAATTTTAAATATTTTCAAGCCCTTCAAAGTAATTTTTAACCAGTCAAAGATCTCTTACCACTCTCTTACTCTTTAGGAAATCTTTCACACCTTAGAACTGAAATACCTCATAAATCTTCCTTCAGAGCTGATTCAGTAGGAAGTTTATGGGAAAACAAAGCAGTAAAACTTTTCCTTTCTCTTATTGACTCCAATTCATTTTTTTTAACCACGAAAAACTAACTTTCAAGATCAATAGAGATTCAAGACCCAATGTACTCAGAAACTCAGTTACAAGAAATATTTTTCTTGAATTCTCTTTTGACTTTAATTTACTTTTGAGTCTGCATACTACAGGAAATAAAATAGCAGCCTCTGTAAAGCTATGATCTAATACCCCCTTTCCTCCTAGGTCTGCACATAAATTCCAGAGAAGCTTATATAATACCACAATGTCATCTGTCTATGCTGACATATGCTAAGATGTCCTATAAGCTACGTGGTCCACAGATATCAATCCACACAGTTTGCTACCAACCTGTCACTTGTTTCTATCAACCTGGCCCCTTTGGTGTGGCCCTCTGTGCTAACATCTATACACAGGCAAATCATTCTGTTGCGGCCACAGTATGCTGGAGCTTGGGGAAGTTCCTCTAGAAGTTGCTTAGACCCATTTATCTAAAGCAGAGAGTCTGAACCAGCAGCCCATAACCATTTCAAACCTGCATGCATGTTGTTTGACATAAGTTATCAGTTATCTATCACTGCTTAATGAACTACCCCAAAACTTAGCATAAAATACATCATTTTGTTTGTTCACAATTCTGTGGGTCAGCAGTTGAGGTAGGTTTAGCTGGTGATTCTGGTCTCACCTGGGATCACTCATGTGTCTACAGTCAGCTGGAAGTCAGATTGCCTCATTCACACGTCTGGCAGTTAGTGCTGGGCTATTGCCTGAACTTCTCTCTCCATGTGGTTACTGATTCTCAAGGAGGTTAGCCCAGCTTCTTTGCATGGTGGTCTCAAGTAGCAACAAATGGATAAATCTTAAGGCACAAGCACTTTTCAAGACTCTTGGGTCATGTTTGCTATTAGCCAAAGTAAGATTGAAGGTTAAAAAAGACTCCATCTCTTGAGAAGCAGCAAAGTCACATTCCAAAGGGACATGCATACAAAGATGGCAGGAAATTGCGAATTGTGGGCATTTTTTTGCAATCTACCACAGTGGTTTTGTTCATTCATTCATTCGTTTGTTCTAGTTGCCAGTTTTTAAAAATTGGAGCTTCATATAAAAGTCTTATCTTGAAAAATCACCTAGCCTACTTAACCATTTACATTTCCTGCCTGGTCTATTACACTCGAGTTTGTGATAAAGCATAGTTCACAAGATTGTTTTTTGTGAACTTAAATGAGGTAATGTCTGTGGAAAAATCTGGCAAGAACAGGCCTTCAATATATGGTTTCTTCTTTCCTGAATATGATTAGCCACGAAGCTGATACCTGACCACATGGCTAAGGAGAATAGCTAAAATGAAGGACAAGAGAGTCGTGGAAAACGTGGCTGGAAAGTAATCCCTTGGCTGTCTTTCGAGAACTAAAGGCATTAAGAAACAAGATTCTTAAAGAATTTATAAGAATTTAAGAAATTAGGAGCAATAGTAAACATCTCAGTTTGCTTTAAGTGAAATGCTTCAAACTCTGAACAGTTCACCTAGCTCATCCCTGAAAAGCGCCTATGGAGAACTGTCTAGACCTGGTCCCTGTTTCAGGCATCTATGTGTAGACACCTGTGTCAGAGCACAATTTTCTCACTGCTCTCCAGAGAGTGAACGCTTCCCTATTCCTTCTCTGCCTGAGTCAGGACTGAGTATAAGTCTCTGCCACAGGCAGCAAACACTAACTACCACAGCTCCTTCCCTAAAGGGTTTTAAATTCTCCTTTACTAACTACTTAACTAGAACAAATGGTTAGCCAATCTTCACCTCAGGGGAAGAGGAGACTGGCCTCTGCAAACTGCCTAGGGTTAGCAAAAACAAAGGCAATTGTGTCAGCAGTTAGTTGCAAACTAGTATGCTGGACTTTCTCCCTCATTTATCAGTTAGGCAATTCTTGTAATTTGCTGACCGCTGACCAGTGAGCACAGTGAAATGGTGAACATTCAGAGCGTGGCTTAAAGGAGAAGCACAAGCATTTTGACTTCATACCCTCTATACACCTGGGGTTCCTGAAGTCATCACACCTGCTGCAGAAAGAAAATGGCCACATTGAAGGTAAGAAACTAACTGGCAAACTATTTGCTATGGTAACAAACTAATTGCTTTGGCTTCTTCGGCCACAACTATGGAAGCTTCTGAGAATTCCAGAGCATCAGAGTTAGAAAGGACTTACAGAGGCCCTTGTCCAAACCCCTGTCTTAAGAGGCTTCGCTATGGTGTCTGTAGGCATGGCTGGGGTTGGGAAAATGAGGAAGAGATGATTAAAAAAGATGACACTCTTACTGTCCCTCTCTTTCAAATATTGTCTTGGGAATATGTAGCTATCATAAGGGCTCCCTCCCACCATGGGCAGACACATTTCTCACTGTGTCTGTTTCTCAGCCCCTGCTCTCTGACATCTTCCTATTGCTTCAGCTTCCTGGACTGCTTCTAGCTCAGGGATCCCCGACCCCCAGGCCACAGACTGGTACTGGTCCGTAGTCCATTAGGAACCGGGCTGCACAGCAGGAGGTGAGTGGTGGGCCTGCGAGCTTGCTTCATCTGTATTTGCAGCCATTCCCCAGCGCTGGCATCACTCCCTCAGCTCCACCTCAGATCATCAGGCATTAGATTCTCATAGAAGCACCGATCCCTGGCGCTGAAAAGGTTGGGGGACTGCTGCTCTAGCTGACCAATTAGATATGTTTAATCTACTAAGTTATTTTGAGTCTCACAAGTAGCCCTCGCCAGTAGAAGTCCTAGCATTTCCTCTAGGAAATAATTTCTTTTTATTGTTTATGAACAATTGAAAAACGTGTGGGTTATGTGCTATAAATGAATTAACTCATATTTTGGGGGGCATAAAAACATAACTTTCCTCCTATCTTCTAAGTTCTTCTAGCTGAACTAATAATCAAATTAACAGAGAAAGATTAACAGGAGAAAATATCCAGAGTTTATTATGCTAATGTATACTTGGGGGTCCATAAGAATGTGACCCAAAACACATTGGGCAATTGAGGTTTATATGCCATGCTGGACAAAAGAGAAGAGGGGCTGGAGTCCAGGATTTCAAAGGGGGAGTAGGTAATTCGCAGGTAGAGGAGAAAAGGGGAACACATGGCAAACAAATTCCTGCTAGGTAACCCAGAAAAAATGGGACATAGTGGGGAGTCCAGTAGAACAGGTTTTGCATGGATCCTTCCTGTCTACCATACTTAATTCAAAATTCTAAAGTGAATATGCTAGAGTTCCCTTCCTTTGTAGGCCTTTCCGTCTGAATTCCCTTAGATAGGAAAGGGAGAGGGTCAAAGGTTTTTCTGGGTCTTTTGTTTCTTAATAACCAGCTTTAATCACTATTACAAAAGGCACATTTTGGGGTAGCAAAACTTTGGCCCCCCCTCATAATCATCAAAATAAATCTGGGATGTAGGCAATCTTGTTCTATTTAACCAATAAGGAAAGTAAAGTTCAGAGAGATTTAGCGATGTGCCCAAGGTGATAAAGTTTGTCTGAATCCAAAGCTCAGGTTCCAAAATGAGCCTTAGTGGAATCTACTAGACTAGACCAGGGAAAAGAATTGTGTCCCTGGTGTCTAAAACCATGCCAGGTGTCCAGGCTTCCATGAGTATCCAACATATGCATGTGGAACTGTCCAGAACCTTGACTATGGGGGCCAGACTCTGGGCTCCTTTCCAGAATGCAGGATTTGAGTACTTCCCTAATGGCCTTCAATTGAAGCCAAGTTTAAAGAATCAAGCATCCCCCTAGTTGATAGGGATCCTGAAAACACTCAACAGTGAAATGAAAGTTTGCTTCTTTATGTCTGATTAAGAATCAGAAAAGCTGAAAAAGCTCTCATTCTTTCATTCAGCAAATACTATGTGTTAGTACATGATGCCACAGGTCTGGGCTAGGTGGAGTCAACAGAAACTTCTTGAAGGAAGCTATTCCTAAGCTGAGTCTTAAGAGAGAAGTAGAAATTGGCTAAGCGAAAAGGGATGGGGGCCAAAGGAAACAGGGAATGCAAAGCCACAGCACATGCAGAGTCCCGTATGTTCTGGAGTTCAAAAGCGTTTCAGCCAAATTTGAGTTGCTGTAGGGACAGCCAAGTTGAGATCCCCAGGAGGTAAGCAGATGTATGGATCTGGATCTCAGGGGTGTGGGTATGGCTAGGAGAACAGAATTGGGAGGTCATCATATCAAAGGTGGTCGTTGAAGTCTTGAGAGAGAAGGAGTACATAAAATTATGTTCCTCATGAAAATCCTATGGGGGAGTTCAG